AAAAAAAAAAACGTACCCTTACTGCACGTCTAACAATTTTTACACTTCTGAAATCCCATGCTGTTATTGTACCATCAGAATCGCCAGAAAAAACGTACTCAGAAGGAGCGAAACAAATGGACAGCACCAGTCTCGGTTTATCACGCCCCTAGAAAGCATTTACTATGGGCTTTACGACTGGAGGAACAAAGCGAAACCTCACAGCAACGCAAAACCACAATGTATAAAGTCTGTTTTAACGTCAGCATCGGAAATTACTGTAACACTAATATAGCAAATTTGAGTTCAAGAAATCAAGCGAAGAGGAAAAGAAAAAAAATCAAAACACGAAAGAATTGCTACTTCAAACACCACTGGCTTTTTATTGAGGACACCATTCTCGAAAGTCCAAAAATTAAAGTGACCCTTTCCAAATAATACAAGTGAATTCTTCAAAAAAGGGTGAAATTCGCAGGCGAAAACTTGATCGTTAGCGCTCTAAACTAACAAGCAATCTATTAAACGCCTGGAAAATACAATACAAGTTAACGGTAAATAATGAAAATCAACCAAGTAACCTTTATTTCAGCAAGTTTCTTTTTTTTTTGCCACTCCCATACGCTTAATGTATGGTCATAGGAATCATCGGTTACTGCAAGTAGTGCGCCACCATCATGCCTGCTAAAAGCAACACAGGAAACTCCTCTCTCGAAACAAGCTTCACTTACGCCGACGACCCTGATGGTCTGTAACGTTACAGAATCCCATATACGTACATGAGCCTAGAAGAAATATGGAGGTATAGAAAACTTTAATTCGGAAATAAAGCTATTTTGTTTAAATTTGGCTATAAACACTATACTTATGAAAAAATAAAAGTTGGTGAAGAGTAGTTTTTTAACTATAAGGTCTTCTTAAAGTAATAAAAATACCGAATATAAAATCTCAAAAATAATATGAATTAATCGCTTGATTTTATAAACCGCGTAGTTTGCAGGCAAAAGAATTATTTAGCGTGTAAAAGAAATTAAGTTCAAAAATTTAATGCCAGTTTATTACATTAACCTTTTAATTACTCGAACATAAAAAGTAAAACATTTTAAGACTACGCGTTATACAATAAATTTAAAAAAGAGAATTTTCTCAATTACATGATCCTCAAAACTAGTCCATCCTTGAAAACTTCCCCTTGTGTGTGGTGCAACCTCAAAAACTTTCTTATTCAGGAAACAAAGTCCATTTATTTTACAAGTTACAGTGTCAGAGGCTTTTTTAAAATAATTATAGCGGCATACCTGCGTCTGTTCCGATTCCAAAACGCTATCCAATGCAGCAGGTGAGCATATTGGAGACCTATGCTCATTCAAAATCTAGAAAAAGAAACCTTATCAGTTAAAAGAAGGCTTGTCTTTAACCATAAAAAAAGCTCTAGATCTAAAGCACCTTTTTTTCAGGAGAATGTCTCGACGTTTGACCTGTTGCAATATGCAGCTTATTAGGATGTACAGCAATGCTAAAAGTATGAACTTTAAGGCGGAAAATATTCATGGTTAATTACGAGCAGGTAAACATTTAAGGGTGACATTTGCCTAAATATGAAAGATGAAAGCCTCAATAAGCTATCACTGCGAACGACACTAACGTCAATTTTCAGAAGTTCTGAAGGAAACAAATCTTTGTAGTGAGTGAGGAAAAGGTAACTACCATTTAATTTCACTGGTATGTTGAGTATAGTGTCTCTGTGACATTTCATCTGGGTCAAACAAAACAACGACTGCACCAATGAAATAAACAATTTCTCCAGTAGGTAGAACATGAAGATTATTGCGCGAATCTTTGCCACGATACCTAAAATAAATACCCTTTTGTAGAAAAAAATTAAAATTATTGATATTTCCTTCAAAGAGCAAACACGCTGCTAAGGCGCAGAACAACATTGGTTGCCGAGATTCCGCTGTAAATATATCAATTTCCATTACTTTACCGCTATCAATTTCCTCATATTCATTAAAAGTTAGATGAGAATTGAGGGATACTAATGTATAAACATCATTATTGGAAATATTACGTCTTTAAAACTTTCCGAGAAAGAGAAGTCTTGAAACCAAATAATAATTTTTGACATACAAACCAGGGACCGCAAAATTATAAAGCTTTTTTAGGAATTTTTCTAAAAAGTCCCCGCCGGTACTCAGCTTCCTCCATAATAAAACCAGCTAAACCAACGTTCGTTTTGCCATCTTCCAATAACAGCTCTTCTTGCTTTCTAAAGCCCCAAAGCCTTCCCACATTTAAAAAAAGCGCAACGCTACAAGTCGTAAAGGATACGGACTAAAGCTTGCAAAACTTTAATCTTCCTATCTACCTGTTATGAACAGCAACGTAATCAGCAAAACTAAGCTAAAAAATCTCTAAATAAGTGCAGGGCCCTAAACAAAATCGACAGAATACCAACGCTTCCATAAGATTAACTTTTCAAAATTCACCTTCTTTGGGACTACCTCTCCAACAAAGCTCTACAGCATTCCTCCCAGCATAAAAAACTAAAAAACTTCGTTCCTCTACTTTTACAGTTTATTCTTTTGTCTCACTTTCAATATCAATTCGAAATCAATCACCATCCGGGGAAGGGCACTCTCTCGATGAGTTCTCTCTCCATCGGAAAAAACCGTACCTCTCTCCCTCCTCTATCGCACGTACAATTATGAAGGAAGTAATATATAGTTTGAATTTGAAGTAGCAAAAAGTCTAGAATAAATCAATAAAGGTAAAGTCTAAATTTACCCATGCACCCATTCAAGCCGTGGGCAGGTGCTAAGTGGAGGATCAATTTCAGAAGTAGGCACTATACGTTCTATGGAAGCTGGGACTGGCAGTAACGTTGTTTTACCTCTAATAATTACTTGTAACATACGCTGTTCTTGCAGATATATCGGATCTCGATGATGTGGCCTTAAAACAATAGGACTGAATTAATTTGGTCAGGTCTACATGAGCAAGTTAAAAGACGTTTTAACAAAGCTGCGTCAAAATGTTGTTTTCCTATCTGTCGTCGACTCCGTTTCTTAATTTGAAGTAAAAAGTGACTTTTCACCCACCATTTTTGATGGGTTTCATATGCTAAAGGCATGGCAGAAGAATCCGGAAAGCGATAAGGCAAAAAAAAAAAACAAACTTCCTTTGTTGCTCCTGCATTAAAAGAAGTCGTGTAGCAGTGTTATTTAACCACACATGTTATCAAAATATGACAGTGAAAAGTGTAACAATTTATTGAATTGAAGCGAACTATAATGTTAAACATTTTCTGTAAACTCAGAATCCAATAGAAGATTAAAGCTCTTCATGCTAGCTTGCCGTAAAAAATAATCTAAAACCTTCAAAAAAATTACCCCAGGTGGTTAAGCGAACGGTGAGAAGCAGCCAAACTAGTCAAGGATCCAAGTCTCCTAAAAAAAATTATTTTAGCAAAAGGTATGGGAATTAGCAAAAAAATTCTAAAACTTAAAAAATCGAAGGCATCTTAGAATTTCCTTCAGAATGACGGACCAATATGTAGAGTTCCCAAGAAAGTAATCTGGAGGAAAAACTTCCTTACCCAGCTCCCTACACAGTTTTGTGAATGTAGCTCCCGCTTTTTCCTAAAAGTAATCAGCCAGCTGCAAAAGGCCGTCATTCTGAAAGATAACTAAGTTCTGCTTTTAAGTTCTATATCAGGAGGAAAATGAAGAAGCAGAACGAACTAAATCCAGATTAAAAAATGACTAAAAACTTTTACTGAAATAAAAGCCACATATTTAAAACGTCCCCTCAGGTCACAACGGCTTGTCAACCATATTGATTCACAATCAAAACCAAAGTAAAGTAAACAAAGAAGAGAGGTTAAACTTCTAAACCTTATTCGAACATTTCAAAATATTAATAATTTAGTCAGTTAATAGACACACATACTTTACAGATCTGGCACTTTTTAGGTTCCAAGTCGGAGCTGTAATACTATCAGAGTCACCATTATGAGATAAATGAGCTTTGTTAGTACTTCCCATTTTCATGTCTGCACTACTCATCCATTTCCTCATTGGACTACCTCTTAGACTTCGTCCCACCGGCACATTGACAAACCCACGAGTATCATCAGAATTTCGCACAAAACGTCGAGATGTACCCGGCCCATTTCGATTCTAAAGTCGGCTGAAGTAGCCTTAGATTCTTTGAATTTAAATGGGAAATTATAGCAAATAAGACTTAATAAAAAGCGACTATTAGTTTTCTAACTTTCGAAATTCACAAACCCCTAATTCTCAAATCCATTGCAATAACAAAAAAAAAAAAGTAAACTGTAGCAGTTACATGCACTTATACTAAACAGTAGCCGTAAAAGGTTATTCACACTCATATTTACACAAACAATTCCCAAAAGTATAATGTCTTTACACATTTCTTGCTCAATCGCTTGACGTAATATTAAGTTTTGGAAAAGATATTAAAAGAAAGTTTTAAGTAAAGACGTATCCTTTAAAATTTTCAAACTGAGCTGTTCTGTGAAACAAATAATCAGTCTCCTGAAATAATATCTGAATATTGTTACCTGGAAAGAACTACTCTCCGTAGCAATATCAGAGTGATTCGGTACCGAGATTAAAGAACTCTCACACCGGCCATTTCTCATTACTGACGACGCACTCCCGTGTAGAGTAAATGTGGTTCGTGGATCACTGTGAGAATTAACCGCTCGAATTCTTTCAGCTAAAGCATAATTTGACTGATTTTTTAAGGACACAGCTTTAAACACTGTAAATGACAATATTTACTGGTCATAATTAACCAACTGATTGGTTCAAGAAAAAGGAAAATGATGAAAAAGATGAAAAAAAATTTTTCTGCTAATTCGGGCAAAATCATTTTTGAAGCAACTGATATTTTGAAATATTACCACTCTTTTGAACATTAATTACAAAAGGAGCGATAGCAACAAACTCAAAGCAGGAAAAATGTTCAAGATCTTAATAAAATTGTTTTTTAATTGATCTAGTCAGACATTCTATTAAACAACAATTGTGCGAAGAATTTAACCGACACACAAATTTCTGAATAACACAGGTTTTTTTTCCAAGTTCTTGAGAATAGCAACAGCAACATGACTAATTGAGGTAGAAAGAGAATAACTGAAACATACAAGAGCAATAAATTTATATATCAGAGATTTAACAAAAAGGTAGACATGGAATTTCAATACCAAATTCAGAATGTAAAGAATGACAAAATCCTTTGGAAAAAAGGTACAGATAAACTCTATTTTTTCAATTTTCAGTCCTTTGAGAAAAACCTTGCAGTGTCCGCAGGCATTACAGAAAAATACGTAGAGCAGCCTTCGAAAAAAAGGTAAGTCTCGGTATCAAAGTAGAGAATTACTGTAGTGCTTAAAATATGGCAAAACTAAATTTAAACAACGAAGTAGCAGAATCTTTAACAGTAATCTATGAAAGGTAATCATACGGTCTGGTAATAAGATTATCTCCCACAAGACAAAACAAAAACCTCAAAAATGTAACGAACTTGAGCGATGAGGCCTCGTCGAAAGACGTTTAAAAACATCTTTTTCATAAGCAGAAGGTTGATTAGTTGGCGGGTTTACGGTTCGAGATGAAGCAGCTTGTTCTAAGCACGACAAACGTCGAAGAAAGTCCGCCACAGAAGAACGAAGACATACCTTAGATAACATAATGATTAGCAAAATTTTCCAATTGTCCATCAAATAAATAAACTAGTTTTATGCTTCATACCAATTCATCTTCCTGTGACTGGACTTTCCTCTCTAACTCACATACTCGATCCCGAAGATTCGCATTTTCTGCATTGAGCATTTCATCTGAAAAAGTCAATAACTTCCAACTTAAATTAGCTAGGAAAAGAGAATAAAAAGTACTAATGGTGAAGCCAAGTAAATAAATAATGAAATGATTGTTAAAACCACTTTGCTTAAAAATCCCCGCTTTAAAGACGAAAAGAATGAGCATGAACAGAAACTAGAAAAGTCTGGTAAAAAATTCAACCGATTTGGAATAAAACTAATTTTAGACAAGAAAGGTAAAGCAATATAAGATTCTTAAAACACTAAATTAAGCCTAAATATTTGGAAGAAAGCTTCAATAAAACTCAACTTTATTTGACAAAAGTTTTTTCTCTTCTAAATTATAAGTAAATGAGAATCAGAGTAGAAGAAATCTTTTGGTACTTGGTATCGGTAAACCTAAAACAAAAGAAAAAAGGTGCATATATTGAAAATTACAAAAAGTAGATTATTAACTGATGGCACATCAATATGTTTATATTGATGAAAAAGCCCGGTTGTTCACTACTTATTTACTAAAAAAGGCATAGCAATGAAATAGACAGAAAAAGAAATTTGTAATTTTTATTGGTTTTTAAAACGAATAAATTTTTATATTCAAAAATTTATTAATTCCCATAAAAACAAGTCAGTTCTTAAGCATAATTCGAAGATTTTAATTTTATTAAAGTCAAGAAATAATAAAAATGAAAGAAGAAACATCACTCGTGCAAAAATGCATCTAGTAGATTCCTCAACAAAAGATTTTTTCTCAGACTACTGTCGTTCAAAACCACCTTCTCAGTGTCCGAATTTAACAGAACTGCAAGAGAGCCAATAAAACTTTAAGTGCTACCCTTAGACACAAAACTTATTAAACTCGGCTAGTCCATGACTCTCACCAATCAGCTACTCACCAACGCTATTTGGGTGCCGTATCCATCAACCACTGAATGCAACCTCTCCAAAACTCCGCGCTCAATTCGAGCACCTTAAAGGAATTTTTAATTTAAAAACTTATACTGTAATTGGTAGTTTCATGCAGTCAGTGTACTATTTAGTCACTGTGACGGAAATAGAGGTGGTAAACGGTTTAGTTTACTGTTTTAATCCTACTTCAGGTGCAGTTACTTTTTTTTTTTTCAATTTTTGCCATTTTTGAACGGCACCATTTGTTGTGTGTTAGCCGATGACGTTAATCAACAATGAAACTAGGACTACTTTATTGATATGTACGGCAATAGCTCCAGAACTGTTGACTAAAGAAGGCCGCTATTTGTTGGTTATAAAACTAACAGGAGAAAGTGACTGTGGCCATTTAAAGGATCTGAGTTACCGACACGAATTTTTTTTTTCTTTTTTTTTTTTCTGTTGATGCACATACTTAGAATCATTTCTTACCATTGTGGCGTCATTGAAATTGCCGAAGACATTAAAAAAAATCGTTTACATTAATAGATACCATCAAATCTCTATGTTTACAACAACGGCAGTAACGGCAGCAGCAGCAGCAGCAGCAGCAGCAGCAACAACAACAACAATAACATAAGCAACAACAACAACAAAGACAGAATAACGACGGGAGCAATAACAAACAGTTATTCAAACAGTATGTTTTGTGTGTATATTTTTAAAAAAATTTATAAATTTTTTTTTTTCAAAATAATTTTGATTCTATCTTAAACTGAAAAACATGGAGTGTATTAGTAAGAAGTAAATTTGAAGGTTAGTACCCTGGTTTTCATGAATATCCGTAGTAGTACGGAAATTTGCAATGATTATTATGCAAATATCACATGGATTACCAACACCAATTTGTGATATATAAAGAAAAAGAAGAGAAAGAGAGTATTAAAACTTTAGGTAAAAGAAGTATATTATCTTTGAGATCTGATCAATAAAGAAGAAAAAAATGTTCTCCTAAATTATTTGGCCACAAAAATTTTTTACAATGTCTTTTTTTAAACCTTCACTAATTAGACCTTAAAAATTTATGTGCAAATAATCAATGAATGCCAGCATATTCCCAGTTGTTAAATTCTGAAATAAAATGGTTGAGGACTTTCAAACATGGTAGAGCAAAGTCAGATGAAAAGTTTATGAGGGACAGGCTTCAGCTTTGCTGCTTGAATAGAAAAAAAAAAAAATTAAGTTTTAAACTAGAAGTTGCTGCTATCTTGCATGAATGTTTTTCTTCAAGAGGGTAATAAGTGCAACTACAGTAGTATTAGTGACTTTCTTCTTACTAATAACTAGACGATAAAAAGATTCAAAATGACTAGTCAATGGTTTAAAGAAATGAATATTTATTTGAGACTTTTGACATGAGGAGATTTTAAATGGCAAAGAGAAAAAAAAAACCAGTGGGAAAAAAACAGGAAACCTTGACGGCAAGAAATTATGTAGCAGAAAGTAAAAAATTAACCTGTCTCATCAATTTCCGATAGATCATCCATAAGTTGTGGCGTAGAACAACACTTGGTAATTTCTTTAGGTCCACCGTATAGCTCATAACGTACCATTTATCTTTTAGACTAGATGACAACAACAACAGCAACACCAACAACAGACCGAAAATAGAAAGGAGGAGACATATCGCTGTATCCCCGAAAAAATAAGTACCAAATAAAAAAGAAAAAGAAAAACACAGGCAACCCATTGTTTTTGTTTTATTCATTGTTCCTTCTTCAGCGGTATTGATCCGACTAGTCTTAATCAAAAAAATTTTTTTTTTG